TGACTTTTTGTGAGCTCATAGCTGGGTACATAGAATTCAGACTAACTATACAAAATATGCACTATACATGAGTAAAATAACATAAAGTATTGTTATTATTTTATTTTGAACTGCAAACAAACGTGCATGGAGTTGGAGTGTTGGAATTAATTTTCATCTTTTTTTTTTTTTTTTACTTTTTTTTTTCCAATGAAAAGTAAGTATCTACGATCTACTTTTTCACTTTCACAGTTTCAGGTAATGACACATTATATACTCCTTAATTCATTCATTATATTCGTCAAGTGGCAAGAGCTAGTCTTGAAACTTGAATTTTTGGTTAAAAGTTTGAAATTCACTATGGGAGAAAGTAAGGGTAAACAAATAACTGGTGGTGATTTGGCAAAGTACAAGCAATCGAAGGTGAAATACATAAATAAATGAGAGTGAGTAGAGTATGAATTATCATTACAGATTTTCAATCAATTCACCGGTTACATTTCTAAGCTTGTAGTGTGTGTATTAATTCACACTCTACTCACTATCACCAATCGTAGCTGTTCACGTGTCCAAATTTAACGGATTAAAAATACTATTTTTTTTAAATGCGGTATGTAGCATTTTCATAAATAATTGAACTTTGATGTGCAAGCAAATTGTATTAAAAGTACATGTAACGGTTTCATATAATGAACCGTGTTTCTGATCCATTAAATCTGTTCACGTGGACGGTTGCGACGATTGATTCTCAATTCTTTCTTGGACATTCGTTCTCACCTGAGCTCGTCCATATATATATATATATATATATATATATATATATATATATATATATATATATATATATATATATATTCGCGTCGGCGCGTGAGTCCACCTTCAGCGAGTTTTTCCGGCGAGATATTCCAGATTGGTTTTTTGCCCTTCTTTCGACTTTTTGGTGAAATTTGAAGGTTCTTTTTTAGATTTGTTGCAAAACTTCTCCCTATGGTGTTTGTGTTTTGGTATAATCGTGTTTGTTTCTTTATCTCCAGTATGCCTTATCCCATGGGGCTTCAGTTTCAACACTATTATAAAGGCCTTTGATTATTTTCTATGTTTGAAGTAAAGGGGAATGTGAATATATATATATATATATATATATATATATATATATATATATATATATATAACTTTTTAAAAATAATAAAAAACTAAAATTTAAACCTAAATTGTAAATATTAAACTCTCAGTAAAAAGTGAATCTCTAAACCAAATAAAATCAAAAAACAATCATACACTCTAAAATCCACACGTTAAGTTCATTGCACTTTCGTATTTTGCAAAATGTAATTTTTAATATTATAGTTTACACTTTTTAATGTTTTACCATGTATTTTTAAACAACATAATGCGTATTTCTAAAAAATCCTGTAAAGTGCACAATATAATTTTAAAAACTGCAATAAATTCGCCTTAGTTATGATAGGGACGTGTTTATTTGGGTAACTTTTTTTTTTTAATACATTATCTTCCCTAATATAATTATTCCTAGATGTTTGACTGCGTTTACATGCTTCTTTTTAATGACTTAAAACCATCCAACTAAGCATAGAGCAAAGTCACCATGGTTAAAATTCAAGGTCTAAGCTATGGAATCTTTGACTATTCTTAGATCTAAATCATACTATACCTACATATATACACATACAATTATACAATGTATATTATATTAGGTATTATCACTATTAATATCAATAGTATCGGATATGACTAGATATATATTATATTAGGTATAATCTGCACAAGTGCTAATAAACTAAATATACTTCGTATTATATATCGATATATCTAACACGATGTGTATCAACTTTTTATTGAGAAAAAACGTGTACAAAAATATTTTGGACCATCAGACCAAGTCAAAGTGGGTTTATTAGGAAGCTAGATGAGCTGTTGAAGATTATTTAGCAAGAAAAGGGTTTGAAAAAAAAATAAAGAAAAGAAAATACTACATGGACTTTATTTCTTACTCTCAACTCTTATTACTCTCCATAAATTTTTGATATAGACATTTTTCTGAAATTCATATAATATATATATATATCATATTCTTATTTGCCACATCATGAAGTAAAAGTGGGTAAGTAAAATTTGAGAATACATATAATTAAACTAGAAATATGAGATAAAATGATGAAAAAGATATACATATAGACCAAGTCTAGTCTACGTGGGATGCGTACCACTAAACCATTGGCGTAGGTCCATCCCCACGTGACAAACCAAACAACATAATAATATTCATTAACACACTTCCCACTTGTAAGGAATGGCACCACTTCCCTGCTTGCTTACATACCTAATTCCTTCATGTACCGTACCTCTACGCTACTTGTATTCTATTTTATTTACTCCCCCAACTTACATAAAAAACAATTCGTTAATAATGTCCATAAGAGTGATCAATTGGGTGAAGCATAACTCTCATACTTAAATGTCACGAGTTTGATTATTACATTACACACTCTCAAATTGTGAATTAATTAACTCATTACGAACAGTTGGTAAGCAAACTGTTAATGTAATTATAAAGTTGAAAAGTCAACGTTTAACTTGAATGGGATCCAAACTAGTCTTAGAGTGGGATGATGTTAATGAAAGGTGTTGTGTTGATAAATCTAAATCTAGTTGATATTAGGTTAAAAAATTAGTTTTACCGAGAATAATTTTAATTTGGAATAAAAAATTGGGTGTTAACGTAGAGGTTATTTCAACCAGATAAAACTTAACTAAAAATATGGTACAAAGTGGGGACAACATAACAAACGAATAAGGTCACAACCAATACGGAAAGGCAAAACCCACCGTTTAACGCGTTGGGTTTTATCAACTTGCGTGGGGCCCTTGAGTAATTGGACTCGTCCGTACAGAAATTAAACAACCATTTTATATCCTTTCTTTTGTTTTTTAAAGAATTAAACCATTTTATATCTAATTTATGCACTAAAGTTCAACTACAGTATAATGCATCATAACATAGAATGTCAATACTCAATATGCGATTGTTTAGAACATTTAGTTTGTAGAAACTAATAAACCGAATTATTTAAAGTAAAATAAATAATTGTTTCATTAACAGCCAACATTTAATTTCTTGCATCTATCATGAACGTAATAATTTTTGTATTCATTTTTTTTTAATAATAAATGTATCATATTATATAGGTAAGTGGGTGTGCCGAGAGGTCAAAAAGGGTGGGAGAGAAAATTGAATGACATTTTTATTATCTAAATAACAACCGTTATATTACTTTGTATATCAAAATATATGAAGGATTATATTGACTTTTGTAGGCGTGCGTCAAGTTAATTAAGAGGTTTTGTGTTAGATTTTCTTTCGAGTAAGAGTTATATTTTGTTTGTGTGACACGGTCGAATCTCGAATATCGATTAGTTTTAGATCAAGATATTAGATGTCGTATGAAAAGGAAATAGAGAATAGTGTGGAAGCAAATTAAAAGCTAATTTAAGCATTAGCCTTAAAAGTTGAAACTTTATGCATGCTAGAGAATAATGAGGCACCATAAAATTAAAGTTCAAGAATCATGGTTAACTAATTAATGTTATTATGAGATTATGTTTGTGTCAATTAGTAAATAGGAAAGCTAGTTAAAATTTTAAAAATATATAGAAGTATTAGTATAGATTGAATAAAAATTAACTATACGCATCACTGCATGGTTAGAAAATGATGCTTATAATTAAGGGAGAAGGATAGATGTAGAGGTATATAAGAGAATTAATGGAGGCATGGAGTTTGAATGTGGGGAATTAAACAATGGCTAAAAGCCTAAAATTGAATGGTAATGCAAATTAAAACAAGGGAATGGGCAGCTGTGGTAACAAGGACTAAGGAGATGGATAGATATTGTCAATGTTGAACATCATTAAATGATTGAATTTTCTCATAGACATTAAGGTTTTTGAATCTAGGCAATAAGACAAATTGGAGATGGGAAGGACGAATCAAATCATGCCAGGTAAGATTTTATGGGAATTCCTTTATTGGATATGATGAGCTTTTGTCCTCAAATCTATCCATCCCCTTAATTTACATTGCCCCATCTCCTCCCCATCCCATTGGACTTCAACATGCATTTACTACTTTTCTTCTTTCTTCATTTCATTTTTCCGGTTTTAGATAAGTTCTACATTTCTAATATTTTTCCATTCATAGAGAAACCTAAGAACTACTTAAATTGTGATAGAGTCACGCTAATATTGCATTATCAGCTATCACCCCAATACACGAATACCTTTTTCTTTTTCAAATACAACTATAGAAACCCATATTACCATCATTATTATAATTATAGTTTGAATTGAATTGGTCAATTATGTACAGAACCTATCCTAGACTGGTTTATCCCCTTGTAGTCATTTTGTCGATTAGGGTCATGAGGTAGAATTTACCCAATGCACACTTCAAGTAATGGTTGCAAATTTTCTTTAGACACAAAAGATTATAGAATGAAGCATAAGAAATTAAAAAAAAAAGTCATAATTATGTAATTGTGATATTTGAGGCTTTGTGTATTATTTGTTGATGCTTTTTAGCTAGTACACCAACTACTGCATTCCAGATAAACATTATAAGTAGAGAGAGAGAAAGAGATGCCAATGCCATGCCGCAGTAGCAGCAAAGTTCAGGGGGGATGAACTTACTATATTACAAGGTCCACACTCATGTGAACCCCATCAACTTGCTCATTATCCTAACCCCACACCCCATCACAACATATACATACACCCACATGTATCTATGCATATAAATGACATATATAAACTACTACCCACCCCCCTACCCATCGCATGAATCTTCCTAGTTCCTTACCTTAATTGTCCTTGGGTTGACCCACACTATCCACATCTCCATATTTTTTCTCAACATACACAATTTCAAACAACTTGTATTTACTACATTAAACATATAATAAAAATAGCCATACAAAACTTGAGGGCAGCTATATCTGTTTGTATATATATGCTACAACTTGCTCTATCATCACCAACCCAATTCATACTTCTATTCCTTCTTTTGCTTTCTCTCTCTCTCTCTCTTCTCTCTCTTGGTCTGTCTCTGAAATCAAGCTAAGAAATAATGGATGCAAGCAGCATAGATGAGAGCAGTTCTAGCGACTCTATGTCGGTTGCGCATGCTTCGGCATTGAATTTGCCGGCGACCAAGTCGCCGGAGAGCCTGTGCCGAATGGGGAGCGGCGCGAGCGTGATCATCGACGCGGAGAACGGGGTGGAGGCGGAGTCCGGCAGGAAGCTGCCGTCGTCGAGATTCAAAGGCGTGGTCCCCCAGCCGAATGGGCGTTGGGGGGCCCAAATCTACGAGAAGCACCAGAGGGTGTGGCTAGGGACGTTCAACGAGGAGGAGGAAGCCGCCAGGGTGTACGACATCGCCGCCCAGCGCTTCCGCGGCCGCGACGCCGTCACCAACTTCAAGCCCCTGTCGGAAACAACCGACGGCCGCAACGGAGACGATGACTACGAGGCCGTGTTCTTGAGCTCCCACTCCAAGGCGGAGATTGTCGACATGCTCCGCAAGCACACCTACACCGACGAGCTGGAGCAGAGCCGCCGAGCCTTCAACATTAACAATATGACTACTCCCCGGAAACCGGAGGCCGATAGATCCGCCAAGTCCCGGGAGCGGCTCTTCGAGAAAGCCGTGACTCCCAGCGACGTCGGCAAACTGAACCGCCTCGTGATCCCCAAGCAGCAAGCGGAGAAGCACTTCCCCCTCCAAAACGGCGCCGTCACCTCCAAGGGAGTTCTCTTGAACTTCGAGGACACCAACGGAAAAGTATGGCGGTTCCGGTACTCGTACTGGAACAGCAGCCAGAGCTACGTCCTCACCAAAGGGTGGAGCCGTTTCGTGAAGGAGAAGAGCTTGAAAGCCGGAGACATTGTGAGTTTCCACAGATCGACCGGACCGGAAAAACAGCTCTTCATCGACTGGAAGGCCAGGAATGGGACCGGATCCCCCGACATCTCCACCGTCCCGGTTCATCCGGTTCAAGTGTTTAGACTATTTGGAGTCAACATAAGCAAGAGTACAGTATCCCCTATGGCTATGGCTATGGATACCACCAATAATATCAGTAGTTGCAGTGGTGGCAAGAGGATAAGAGAAGTAGTAATGGAGTTCTTGCCATTGGAGTGTAGCAAAAAGCAAAGGGTCATTGATGCTTTGTAACATCGATCTCCAAACTCGAATCTCAAACATGAATAGTATATGTTATCTCAACTAGGCCGGTTTTAGAAATCACCTTTTATTTCTAATCTTTGGTTTTTAATTTTTTTTTTTTTTTTTTTTTTTTTTTGTTTTGTTTTTGGTTTTGGTTTTGGGAAGGAGTTGAAGGGAGGGATGGGCAGTTGCAAGTTGCAAGTTCCAATTTGTATATTAGTGTTTTTAGGGAAGCTAAGAATGGTGGCTCTAATAAAGAGCTCATCATCATCAACAACTAGGTAAACATTACCAAAAAAATGTGGAAATAGAAATAACATCTTTTAACTTGTTCATGCTCAAAAGTACATACGTTTCTTGTATTGTTTTTATATCTGTTCTTATGCTTCACATGCTACCTATTTCATTTTAAACCTTTTCCCTTTGTCAGTGCTTTCCAAATATATACATCTATATCTTGCCATACATAAAGCCTATCTAGCTATCTAAATTAGCTCGAACTCGAGACTTCTGATCAAATTGGAAGAAACTCGTACCACTTCATTCACATCATCCATATATCGTGTATGAAGAAAGTGTTTTTGGTGGTGTTAAAGCATAGGAACATGGGATGCATGTTGTTAGAACTTTAATTTACTACTTTTAGATAACTTTAGTTGAACTGTAGAGGGATTTAAAACAGGATAATACGATAATGTTTTTGTGTTGTTGGATTGTGAAGAATAATCTGAATCAGCATTAAAGGGTAGAAAGTTTGGAGCCATCTAAACCAATGTTCCAAATCTGGGGGAAGTATGTTGTGGAGTTAATCTTTCCATTAGTGGCCTACAAACATCAGCAAAAGAAGGATTGATCTGAAATCAATTCAAAGGAATTGAATTATATTGAAGATGAGATTCTTGTTCTTGTATTATCAATTTAGTACCAACCAAAATGCCAACATTATTGTACGTATATAGTGATGGTTTCTCCGTATTCACTTATCATGTTTTGTACTAATCTTGCTTTATCCCACTAGGTTTAAGAAATAATATATATTGTTCCAGTATAAAACGATTCTTTTACAGTGAAGTTGATCATTTTTATGGAATATTTTAAACACCATTCAACTATATATAATGTCTACAAGATTAACATCCGGGTAATATATATATATATATATATATATATATATATATATATATACCCACATGTACATATATGTATGTATATACATGTATTCTCCCCATTTTCCATTCCTGATATTCTTTGGTCTAAATTTCTTGGAACAAATATTAATAATTATCAGTTTTATTTGAATTCCGGGTTTCCCACCCAGTCATCAATCAAACACTGTTTTAAGTTTGTTAGGTAAAGTCTACGTTAGAGAATGTAGTTGTGGAAAAGCTGGTTTAGTTGCACTGGTCTGGCTGCATCCAGATTTAGTAATATAATATGCCTACTTGCTTTGTTTTTTGCTTTATATATATTTCCAATTTCCAAAATTGTTAGGCACTTTATCCCTTCATTCTTCCACGGAAAACTATACTTTCCCAATATCAAAATAAAAACAATGTTTCAATTCTATATTTTCAATTCTATATATATATATATATTCTTGGGTTTGGAAGAATGGGTATAATTGAATAATGATGGAAATTAAAGTGATTTAGAGATGATGGCGGATCCGAGTGATTGACTACTTAAGAGCACCCAAAGGGGTAGAACACAAATCTTATGGGAACTTGTAGTACAGTAGCGGAGTAATAAGACAGGAATGAGAGATTTGATTCGTGTTAGTCATGTATAAAGAAAGCAAAATATAGAGCGGTTGATTTCTTAGTGAGTTTATTCTTGTAGCATGAGAAATGATTGAAGGTGTATGGGTGTCTTTCTTTCCTTGTTCGCGTGTTTCTTAATGACAATAGGTTTGTAGTTTCAGGACCTAGAAATGTTGTACGTCGCGGTAGGAAATTAAGTATTTATTTTCAGATATTTCCGTCCTTATTTTGATTAAAAAAAAAAAAAAACTTAAAAGGGATTTTCTATAATAATGCATTTGTATTGTAGTATGTTATGTTTGTGTATGAATTATCATATAAAAACTACTGTCCGACAGCTTTGGGGTGTAATTAAATAAAGATAATATTAAAATTTGATAAGATTCATGTTTCATCCTGGGAATTGGCTAAGCACCGTGAATCAATTCAAGTGCAGATTCATGAACTGTATCTTTTTCAAAACCAACGTGATTTTTAGAATCTTAAAACTAATTAATTCTAGAGAGCCTAAAAGATGTACAAATTTTTGTATTTAAATTAATCTTCCATCTGTACTGTCATGAAAATTCCAGACAATAATATTTGCCCTTGCTTATTAAACAAAATCATAACGCAGTATATCATTAGCGAGCTTTAATTATTGATCGAATTGATCATAATTATTATAATAAAAAATAAATATGATTAAAGATATAAGGAATAATTCATAACAAATCAACTTTGAAGTTACAAAGTCACATATTAATTTTGTTTGAGTAATACTTGACTCTAAGAGAGTCACTTTATACCCCTAAACCACAAAGTCATTGGCCAGTCACATATTAATTAATCATCGATCGACCTTTGACTAGTGAAATAATCCCTTCGTAAAAATGCGCAGCATACAAATCCAACAATATTGAAGCGAGACTAAAATTGAGATCATTACATTATCGTATTCATATTGCAACTCAAATACAATTAATCACTTAATTTTAATGATAATTGAAGATTTGTATATATCTATCTTCTATAATCCATAAAATATTTCTCAAATAATAAGCATATATTATGTGTGCGCCTACAATTATCAACAATTAACGTTTTTTTTTTTTTAATATGTAACCCGTTGAATACCGTGACTAATCTGATTCCCTCACTAAATTGTAGACAATGATAAATGAGTCATTTTCACTCAACTACATCATCGGGTTATTCAGGTTCTTAATGACAACCTTAAATAATTGTAAGTTGCATGGCATAAGAATTCGTTGTGGTACGTCTAAATATGTGGGTTTGACTATGAACTCTGCCTAACTCTAATCTATGTCACAAGGAAGACAGCCAGTTTGCCCAAAGTCAACACTGCACATTTTAATTAATTAATTTCTCTAGTATAATAATGTGAAATGTAGGCATTAATTTACAGTCAAAGAAGGGATATTAGAATTACAAACCACTCTTCAAATCCCAAAAAGTTAGCAACAAATATCTATTTCAATATTGGTTTGTTCATATCATGAAGAAAGATTTGGGTGAAAATGTCAAGTGATCATTATATTGCAGGATTAAAATTATACTTCTTATAAATAAGTGACTTTTAGCTGGCTGACCAACTAATCGCCCAACTAGGCGACCTAGGCGTTGAGTTGGGCGCCTAATTCGGCCGTGTTAGTTGAGCGCATAACTCAGCCGAATCGGACGCCTAACTCGGCTGAGTCAGTTCCCAACTCAGCTGAGTTGGCGCTCAACTTGGCCGAGTGATTTTTTTGCTTGCTCGGCTACTCCTCTTCTATATTTCTCCAACTATGTATTCAACTAATCAGTTAATTAATTAACATATGCATTTGACCAGTTTGAGGGATTATAATAGTCTAACAACTTCTAGCCACAAGTGAGAAAAGTTGAGATAATATACTCGAATTACTCCGCCGTCTAGGCGCTAGGCGCCCCTCGAGCGCCCGACTAGCGCCTTTTGCAACATTGTATATATTACATGCTCAACATGCTCCTTACATATACTAGGAATGCGTTTCATCTCAACTAAAAAATAGTGTAAATTAATATTAAGCATATTTATATTTATATTTTATATTTTCTATCCACAATCAATTTATTCTAGTTTGAGGTTCCATTATATTGTTGTTTCTTAGAAACATCTGCAGCAATAATAAATGTAATATAATGTCACACATGTTGTTGCAGTCTTATTGTAGGACATCAAAACAAATAAAGATAAAATGAAAAGAGTAGTTCACACAATTAGATCGAGATTTATGTGACAAATTTTATATTGTTGTTTAATGAATAAATAAAACAAAGTATATAGAATCCTCTCCAACTTGTGTTAATGCATGCACCTTTTGGCATATGTGTCATAAGCTTTGCTTATACAATTCAATTACATGAATCTTGATAAATATTAATCTCTTGTCTATTTTATGTCTTGTTTATTATTTGTTGATTGAATTGACTCCTTTTTCTTTGTTTATTTTTTTTTAGTAATTTTTAATTATTTTTAAATTCAATTTTTTTATTAATAGTAATTTCAATGTACTTTTTGAAGTATATAAATTTTATATACTAATACCAAATTTAATATTATAAAAAATTGAATTAAAAATAACTTAGTTTCAATCGAGTCTCGTTAATTAAATTAACCATCCACATAAAATGTGATGGAGAGAGTATTTTTCAGTATATAATTTAAATATAATAATAATTTTTTCTAAAAAAAAAAAAAGACAAAATAATAATATTAGTAGGGAAAATTAAATCATAAATACAAGGAGAGAATAAGTTTCAATTCCCTAGATCGAATTGAGAACCTGTGACTTTATCAAGAGTATAAGTTAACATGTTCCCATGGGCACTGGGTCCCTTCGACCTAAAGAAAGTGTAATGTCGTCGGGTCGGGATTTGATGAATCAACTCGTTGCTTCTCTAATTAATTGAAGTATAGGGCTTAATTTACTATATTTCGAGATAATCCTTGTATAAGAGGAATCATTTATTTTTCAACTTAACCCGACCTAAATAGACATTAAAGTAATATCTTTCTAAACTTATATTGTTAATAAGACCCTGATAATTTTATTCAAGATAAAGCTAAGCTTCCATTATGAACATGTACATCATTCTAATATGATTTTTTTTTTTAATTAATTCAAACCCATTTGTTTTTATTAGAAAAATAAGCTATTTACGTACTTAGACAAAAAGCATGTTACATTGCCAATAATTCTAATTTTACTAAAATAATATGGGGAGCTTGGTAAACGTGTACCTGAAATTTCTATTACAACATATATGGACAGCCTAGCTAATGGCTTTTGGTTGGTTGTTTTTGACTTTTCATGCAAGTAAGTGTCATTAAATTAACCTTCAAAAGACAAGGTCTTGCTTAATACTTTAAATGTACATTCTATAAATTACCTAATATGTCCCATTTGTTAATCCAATATGCAATAGATTGCCAATAAAAAATAAATAAATAATCCGAATAATGTATACCCTAACAGAGCGTTTAGTTGGAGGGGGGAATTATGTGGGAAAGGAATTGTAATTCCATGGAAGTTGAATTACTGGGAATAAAGTGGGAATTTAAATTCCAGTGTTTGGTTGACAGGAAT